TAACACGTCTCCACCTGACGGAGCCTAAAGCTTAATAAGACTAATATTATATTTCATTCTTACATTAGCAAAGCCACTCTTTATTTTGGGAAACCCTGTATAACTCGGTCATGTGATCAGTTTCTGACTGACTGCAGAGTGACACTTGTGGCCCTTTGTGGATTGTTGGATTCTGTGTCGTGCAAATTCAGACAAACAAAGGCTTCTGGCAACTGAATTGGGACATAGTTAACATGTAGAGCATCTCCGCTTATTGTTGATCAGCTTATTTTTCTGACTAACTTCTCGTTGAGAGACTCGTCTGCAGGATAAAAAGCCGGGGAAGTCGTGTATGGAGTTATGAGATGACGAGAATGAAATAGAAGATAGAGAGGAGTAAAAACAGAGGGTGAAAAGAGGTAAGAGCCCTGAAGTTAGGACCGTTTTCTGTGTGTGTGAGAGTGTGTGTATATAAATGTGTGTGTGAGGCTGTGAGACGTGGCAGGACGAGGCCTGGCTAACCGGCAGATCTGTTCCATATGTTTCCTGGAGAAAGAGAGAAACAGGCAGCTCTCCTCCACCCCACCCGCAGCACAACAAGTCCTCATTTAAAAGGACCAAACGGTGGAGAAGTAAACCCTCCGCAGCACTACGTCGTCTCACCGTACCACCGCTCGGCCTCGTTCTCTGAGGACGCTGGGCATCAGTTATAGGTAAAGATGTATCTGAGGAAGAAGGCAGCTGGCAGGTGTTGGGTTTCTGGGAGTCAGCAGGGAGCGGGCTGCTGTTTGACAAGGGGCCTCCCAGACAGGCTGTGAGGGCAAAGAAAACACACACACATACACACACCATCCCGTTTTCACATCGGTTTCATCACATTCATCATTCCTGTGTGTATTTTAAAAGTTTGAATTGTTTTTGTCAGTGAGGAAAGGATGAAGAACTTTCTGTGACAGCTCCTCTCAATCAGCTCCTCCCAAAATATATATCATGAATGATATATATAATGTATGAAGACCCAATGGCCTCCTACTTTCACTGGACATCACATTAATGAAGTAGTAATACTTCTTTCAGCCCATAGTGTTGACCCGAGACTGGACGTCTTATCTGATCGTGTCCGATGGCTGCACAGCCACCGCCATTCACCTGCGGACGTACATCAACGTTTTGCATGGAGGCTCCATACACATAATGATGGCCACTTATATATATTTGTGCATGTTAATTATCTTTCGACTCTTGATCGTCTTTTTCCTGCTCCAAACTATCGTCATTATATCGGCCTTTAAGAATCCACTGCTGGTCGACTACTAGTTGAACCCACTGACAATCATCACTAACTCTGTGAGTGTTTGAGCATCTCTCTGCTTAATGCTTTTGGTACTACAACCCACAACATTACATTTTTGATTCACCGTCAGCTCTACTATGATAATATGTCAGTGTTGACAGCTTGTTGTGCTGCCCCAAAGTGCACCCCTAAATAAATCAATAATGCAGGTTTAAGCCAGTCTTCGGACTCAAGTTTTACTGGTTTTTATTAGGGGTGGGAATCACCAGAGGTCCCGCGATACAATATTATCACGATACGATATTATCATGGTACTGCGATATTATCACGATACGATATTATCACGATACGATATTATCACGGTACTTAGGTCACGATACGATATTATCACGGTACTGCGATATTATCACGGTACTTAGGTCACGATACGATATTATCACGGTACTGCGATATTATCACGATACGATATTATCACGGTACTTAGGTCACGATACGATATTATCACGGTACTGCGATATTCTGAGTATTGCGATAACATATATTACGATTTATTACTTTTTTCAACTTCAAATTATGTCCCCAAAGGAAAACTGTGTCGACGTGTTTTATCTAATAAGATAAAGTTTTCAGTCTGTTCATCTCACTTCAATCATTTTTATTGCAGGAAAATAGGATTGTCAAGCAGATAGACTGACCAACAATGTCATAAATGTTGCATGCACCTGATAAACTGAACAGTTTGCATTACAGTCTACATAGCCCAACCTAACTGAATGCAAACGTGTCTATAACTTATATAAGTAGGATATAAGAGTTGTATAACTCAGTATAACTTGCGATGCATGGACGTCGAGGGCAGAGAGCCAGTTGTGCGCTGCACTCTCCCCATGAGCCTGGCTACTGTTGGCAGATTTAACCCCGTTGTGAGGCCAGATTGAGCGTGTGAGCGAAACACTTCACATGCAGGAATCCCGCTAACTGAACGGCAACGCCCATGTTAGAAACGTTGTTACAACCACCAGGTTTTTGTCAGCAATTCTTGTGCTGCATTCTGCAGGAGGTCTGTAATGTTTGCCCCGGTGTGATTTACGTGTACTGCTCTAGTTTGGAGAACGAGAGACAGCAGTCACCAGTCCTCTGAGATATTGTGCTGTTGTAGTCACATAGGAATCCACAAGTTAATGCAACTCTTTCTGCTGTACTCAAAGACTCCTCAACTTTAAGCTTCACTTCTCTGTAGGGCTTAAGCACGACTGTGTCGGTGAAAAAACGCCGTGACGGAGTCATATCCATGTGTCATATTCATGCGTCATATTCATCATATCCTTCTTCCCTTCCTTGTTAAAAAAAATCCAAAATAAGTCCAGACGTCTGATTTAAACGCGGACGGTGCATTTCTGATTTCTTTCTCCGATGTCTCCATCTTTGTTTTGACCAACTTCCTACCAATCACGCTGACCCGGGACCTTTGCTGACCTTGCCAGAAAACAACTCGGCACCATCTAGTGGACTGAAAAAGCAATTGATTTTATTTTTCTAGTAAAAAATTTTTTTATAGTTTATATAATAAAAGATCGATACTTGGCGTCCGTGTATCGATACAATATCGCCACGCAAAATATCACGATACTATGCTGTATCGATTTTTTTTCTCCTACCCCCTAGTTTTTATTGATGAATCTAAACATCAGGGTCCTGTGTGCCGTCTCGTCATTGAAGGATTGGTTTGAATTAGAAGTGAGCTGGTTCGATAAGGAGCTTCTGCAGTTTGGGTAAATTCAGTTTCCAAATCATCACTGAGATAAGAGACGCCTTTCATTATAAACAACAACCTAACAATAATAACTTAACAACATACTCCGATTAAGATACAATAGAGCAAACTCCATCAGCTGATGAAGGCCGTGTGATACGATTGAAAGCTCTGGATAAATCTTGTTACTGGACCTTGAATTTGGGATTGTTTTGTTTTAAATAATTTACTCAACAATGAAAGTTGTCTTCAATTAAAGATATATATCTTGTTGTTTTTTGTTACTTTACCACCTGCCTTACGTCATGTTTGCCCTACCGTATGAGCCGCAAAGTAGATTTGGTGTGTTTATATTTTAGACACAGTTTTTGATGGCGATGCAGGACTGTAACCCAAACAGACACGTCAGTGTATCTTTGTTTGTTCAAGTTCAGATCCCATCAGTTCCTGAGATACCAAATCTGTCTGAAAAAAGTCTTTGTCATGAATAGTCTCTGTACGTACTGTACCGTTCACTATTAATGAGATGTTGTAAAGTACCAGACCTCTCATCTTTTCACTGTTTTCTAAATTACACCAAAAAGTAAGCCAATGCGGAAGTGCCAAAAACTGCAGTTCATCAGACGGCCACTTGAGGTTGTCTCCAAAAGCAAATCAATTCTCTCACACACTCACTCACTCACTCACTCACTCACACTCGATCAACATCCAGACCTCCACAGACCCCAACAGCACTGCCTTTAACTCTTTAGTGTGCAGTGACACCTGCTGGTTGATAAAGGAACAGCTCCTCTGGATTTCAGCAGCCTTAGCAGCACTATAGCATGTTAAAGCTACTAAAGGAAAAATAACAATGAACATACGTATACTGTAGGTATGTGACCGGGCAGCCAGACGTCTCCTGTCTGTACCTTTAACTCACAAGATCTGTGGTTTGGTCAGATGGTCGGACAGTACGAGGCATTTCAAGACGTAATCTTGGGCTCGGAAAACTGTTGATGGACATTTTTTTACAATTTTCTGACATTTTATATTCGACTATTGATGACTATGTTATTTGTAACCATTAATCTATAAAACCGTGCAGCTCCTCTAAGAATACAATCCACTTGTGACTCTATTTGGTTTGAGATTCCGAGTGTTCAAACACCATTTTGCCTTTTTAAACTCAGTTCATGCAATGTCTGTAAACTATGTAGTGTTGACGAGTCCTAATCTTCAGTACTATAATATCTTACAAACCAGCACGTTGCCCATTGATCTTTGAAGATACTTTATTTCATCCAAGCTTTGTCTCACATGTTGAGTCAAATTAATTCATATAGCCTGAAATCACAAGATATGACAATAATAGCTCAAATAACAAAATCAAACGTTAACTTTCCAACTCGAACCCACTTTCATTTTGACAAAAAGTAACAACATACACGGGGAGGTGTTCCAGGTTTATTTAAAGACATTCTAAATAAATATCGCACCATTTCAGAGGAGAGAGCACTGGAGAAACAGGAAGCTGTTTGTAGGGAGGATGCTCTTAGACGTCCCAGGTTGGGCCTTTCAATAATAACTGTAGTTCACTTGGTTGCTATAGTTCAGAAAAACAAAGTCACATTTTGAGTTGGCATCAAGGACGATGTATAATCTTCTAAATACAAACAATACAGACATGCAGTGAGATAATATAAAACAAGCACATAAAGACAAACATGGGGCTTCAAAGTGACTTATTGCATTAAATAATGCAGCGTCATTCATTGACTGTACAGACTTGAGCTGGAAGGGACGTATGTTTAAAAGAAAGTGTTTTTTCTCTGGCCATATAGTGACTCTTTATGATGATTAACTTAAAAGAAGGCAAATATAATACATAATAAAAATGCAAAAGAGGGAAAAAGTATTTTGTTTGGAAAGGTTTCTACTCAATATCTCATTAAAATGTCTTTTTCTAAGCTAGAATGAAAATAACTCTTTTGTTAAAAAGGCATCAGCATGTAGTTTTACTCAAATCAGGTTATTTGGTGATTTTGCTCAAAAAGTGACCAGAGGGAGGCGCTTTATTCCTTGGAAAGTTTACAGAGCAAAAGCCAAGGACAACCTCACACAATGTGAACACTTGTTGAATTTGATCATGATCTACAGATGTTTATGTTATTTTGTCCTCCCCCTGTATACTGTCTTTTCGGCAGCAACATCCAGACTAGTTATTTTTATTTAGTGTAAATTATACCAGCATTCAACAACATGTGCTACACTTTCTAATATACATCAATATAATGCCATTTCTCTAATTTCCTGAAAACTTTAGAAATCCAGTTTCATCTTGTTTTATTTATCAGAATTATTATCCTCAACTCCTTCCTTTATAATGAGGATATCGGCAGTTCTTCATGTCTGATCCGTCTGCGACGCGTCGTCTCCTCTCTCTACTTCCTGAAGTTCCCGAGCTGAACGCCCCTCCGTCCGGTCACGCAGCGGAAGGTGGCGGGCTGGATGTCCCAGTACTTAACAGGGTTGGCGAACAGACTGATGCCCGTGTACAGGTTCTTCTTCACGCTGGCCGTGATGGGACAGAAGTCGTTGACGCCCACGCTGCTGATTTTATTGCCGTGGAGATAAATCACCTAAACAGACAAAGAGGATTTCTTTCAACGAGTTATTTTATCTGCTTTGTCGGTAAACAACCGTGATTGGGAGTTCTGTTTTAAAGCTGCTTAACTGCTACCGTGGAAACTCAGGATCACAACCTTTAGAGTCAGAAAGTTGGGCATCATTTTATGACTCCAGGCTGCTGAGTGGAAGGGAACTGATGTATTTGAGATGGCTCACAACCTCACTGTTCCCTTCCGTTACTCATGTGACAACGGCGTAGTATGAGCTGCACATGGAATACTAAAAGAAGACTTTATTCTTCTACTTTAGCTACACTAGGAGATAAGATCGGTGCAGCATTGGCTCTTTTCACAGCAGCCATTTTTAAATGTCATTGAAGGGTAAACAGGTGTGATTAATAATCATCCATTTTGTGCATCCCGGCTCTCTAGAATGGCTGCGACGTACTAAATAGAACGGGACCATAATTGATTTTCATCAATAGCACCTTTATTTACTTTGCTGTGACATGTCCAATGGATGCTGTGGGCCTATTGGCTGGACCAGACTTTAGCGGTAACAAACGGGAACTGATCCCACCTGGATTTAGCAGACTATTTACATTCTACGATGATGAACCAACCGATAGAATGATATGATGGATAGAAGCAGCTGAAAGGAGTTTTCTGTCTGGACTCAGTCTTAGAAACCAGATGAGAACTTGGACATCTGGAAGGGGTTTGGAGTAAAAAACAACTTCTCCTCTGCAGTGAGATGAAGATTGATTAAAAGGAGTCAATTGAGGTGGTTCAGTCATGTGATCATGATGCCTCCCTGAGGAGGTTTTGGCCTTGGACATGGAAGAATAGAGATATTCTGTGATGAGCTGGAGGACACGACCATGGAGAAGGAGGTCTGTGCTACATAGCTAGTTAGCCTTCTAAAGAACATTTAGAATTCTCATTTCTATACGTCCAGCACAGAGATGGGTCCATGTCATGTTTAGCTTAGCTTTGCATAAAGAGATAATCTACCTCCAAAGCTGTATGATTTGTATAAATAGAAATATTAAATGGAGAAGTTGGCGTTGGAGCGGTTTGATGACAACAACACGCAGCATCTCAGATGTTCTTTCTCATAGGGTGCAAGCTTTGAGCCCTTTCCCGCTACACCCAACAGATGAACTTTATTCTACTGACACTTATCACAGTGTCTGTGTCTCACCTGGAGGTAGCGCAGGGAGTTGAGGCTCGGTGGGATCTTTTTCAGACGGTTGTTGTCCAGATGGATCTCACGGACGCTTGGAATATTGGCTAAGCTGCCATTTTCTATGTACTTGATCTGGTTAAAACCGAGTCCTAGCCTGCAAAAATGGCAAAACATAGTTGACAGGTACACTAGCAGCACTATTAAATATAAATCATCAACTCAAACATCAAAATGTCAAAAAAACATCAAATGAACTTGGAGTTTGGAAGAAGAGTCTTAATCTGAAAAACGGTCTGTTTCCAGGATAAAATGTGGCTGGTTTTCACCTCTTCAGGTTCTTATATCTGATGAAGTCTTCTATTTCCACCTTGGCGATCTTATTGTAGTCCAGGCTCAGCTCTGTGATGGAGGTTGGGAGGTCTGGGAGATACAAAACACACCAAACATAACCAATGTAAAAGGTGGATTAAACACACTTTTACTTGATTACTTGCTGAGGTTAGCTGTGTTTGCCTCATTTAGTTGTACACTGTAGGTCCAGAGTCATTATACTCTCGGTGGTTGACTGGATGTGAAAGAAGAGTTGAAATAAGCGTAACATCAAGCATCAGATAAGCGTAACATGAGGTGTGTGATGTTGTACCTTTTGGCACAGCAGTGAGTTTGGCCTCTGCGATACCGATGTACAGGGTAGACAAGCCGTTAAAAGCTCCCAGTCCAATCCCACTGTTGGCCAGAGGGTTGGCACCCAGCTCTGTTGGGACGAGCACAAAACATCTGGTTTAATTATTAAAAATCCATAATCCATGTCCTAATTACATTAGAGAACATACATCAGTTTGAGGACTTGGTGGCCTGGTAAAGTTTCAAACCAAAGTTTGTTCAGCACCTCTCTCTAGTTAAAGAATGATTCAATTAAATGAATAATTAACTGCTGCAGCGTTTGCCTGCAGACCTCTGCTTGGCAAAGGACGGGACACATCTGGCCTATGAGAGAATTGATGATTGCTAATCAGATATGGGATTGAAACCAGGTCTTACCCAGCACATGGAGTTTCCTCAGGCCTTTGAATGCATCCTTCTGGATCCTGGTGATCTTGTTTTCATGGAAGCGGAGCTCGATGACGTTGGGAGGCAGGTTCGCGGGGATCTCAGTGAGCAGGTTGTAGGACAGGTACAGCAGTCTGAGATGGTCCATGTTTCTGAAGGCCTTGGGGTGAATCTTGGAGATCTTGTTGTTGATCAGAAACAGACCCTGATGTGGTGAATAGAAGGTGAATAAAACAGTTGTTTGTTGCTGCATTTCTTACAGCAGGTGTAAGAATGGAATTTTTGTCAAACTACTGTTTCCAAGGTCCAGAATGAACAAGCTAGAAGAAGATAAAGATAGACAATATGAAAGGTTTGTTCTGACATCATTATTGACAAATTCTCTCTGAAAAGAACAAAACTAGATTCAATGAACAGAATAATAATTGATCAAATTTAAAGGGGATTTTTTTCTATTAGAAAGTGTTGACATGCACTGATTATTTTTCTGTCTGAATATACCTTTATTCACCCTCAGTTTTAGTTCCTGTCTCTTTAAACTCCTAAAAACCACCAATCTGCTATGATGGGCTTGCAAGGAAAAATATGGTGAACCTTTTGCAAAGGTAGTTCTCAAGCCATGGGTCGAGATACTAACATTGTGGGGGTAAATTCTAATGAGCCTGCATGTGACGGAGCAAGGGGAGACAAATCTGAACGGCTGGTTGAATCACATGTTTTCTGATTCAGGCAGCCTACAAAACACTGACTGGGTTTTCTTATTTCACAGTTTGTGGACAGGTAGGAACTCTAGATACCCAAATGTATGTGCACAAGCATATGTCCCCTTTAAACGCACCGTCCAACACTTGATGACGAGCCGCTGTATTAGCACAAAGCTACAGATTGTTCTCACTTTGTTTGCTTTGATACAGATGATCCAGAGTTTTAAGCTTTGATGTGGTTTATTCCCAACAGGAAGAACATCAGCGAGATCAGAGACGACCCCTCTGTAACCGCCCCTTCTCCTTAACTGGGAGTAAGTACAGATGGGCTGTAATCTCACGAGGCTGCAGGCTACATTTGGACTGAAGTAGTGAGCTTTAGTGAGTCTGGCTCATATAAAGTTCTCAACCAAATCTAAGCATTTTGTAGATGGAAGTAGTCGTAGGAAGTCATTGGTTAGACGCTGGATCTGATGTCATGCTCTGAAATGTTTACACTTGTGCAGGTGCAGTAGAGCAGACGATGGATGTGAACAGGCTGCGTTCTTTCCAGAGAAGTCTGCTGATTTTCTTGTTAATTTTGGCTCGACAGATGCAAATGTTGAGAGTAGGAAAAACCCGGAATAATTGCAATTCTTATCTTTCATGATTCTGAATCGATGTTGAGGTGGAACACAGACCGCATATGACTTGTGTTACAAGCACTAGAAAGACAAGGAGATGTTTCAAGTCTGTTTCCTTTTGTTTCACGTGCATACTATCAGTGATCGTGTGGTGAGCTCTGAGTGCTGCTAAAGCACGGTTGAGCTACACTCAATTACGTTTCTCAATCAAGCGGTAACTTCTGGTTCTGAAAAGTGAAGTCAATGCTAAAGTGCCTTAAACCTGCATTCTCTCTAATGTCCATCAGGGGGCGACTCCTCTGGTTGTATAGAAGTCTATGAGAAAATGACTCTACTTCTCACTTGATTTATTACCTCAGTAAACATTGTAAACATGAGTTTATGGTCTCAACCTCCAGTTTCAAGTCTTCTTCAATACAGCATGATGTTCATTTAGTAGATTATCGTCCATTTAGAGTCAAATAGACCATAAAGCAGGGTATGCTTTAGGGCGGGGCTACCTTGTTCTTTTTTTTTCCTCTCAGGTCACATCTTCAACTAGTCACTTCTCGTCACATGGTACTTGGTAAGAGTTCCTTAGTGGTTTTGAATTGGTCAAAATGAAACCAGACTGAACTGTGCTGATGTGTGGACCCCCATTGTTTGTCACAGCGGGTCGTTTTAGTTGGTAGGAGAAAGATTGACACTAATCATCCCATAGATTAGTACAAACACTGACTGATGCAGTAACCAACTTGACTGTGTGCAGGATAAACCAGCTCTGAAGCTTTCTCTTACGTAAAGCTTGTGGAGGCCTTTAAAGTCGTTCTCCTTGATCTCAGTGATGTCATTGTTTTGGAGGTCTAGTATCACGGTGTCTTCAGGAATCTTCTCAGGAACAGAGATCTCACCTGTCGACAGGAACACAAGCACCTCATTAAACACCAGCAAGTTGGAGCAAAAGTGATGAAAATCGGAGCTCATGCGGCACCAATGTGAGATGCACAAGAGAAGAAGTAGTTGAGTTTTACGATTATTTACATGAAGTCTATTAAGAGTATTTTCAAGTATTAAGAGACAAACTAAGACATTACTGGTTTTAGTTTGTTCTTGTCATGGTATATGTAGACAAGAAGAAAAATATAGAACTCCAAACTGTCACTGATAATCTTAAATGGTGAGCTTTATAGTTTGTGATTAGATGAAAGAACAAGCCTTTATCAAAACACTGTTTACAGTAACATGTGGATCCAGATGTGTTCATACTGTGTTCTCATCAGGGGGGTCGTGACATACCGGTGTTGGTGATAACCATGATATTTAAGAAATTAAATGACATAATGTTAATAGTAGCCATATGATAATATTGTGTAAATAATCCATAATATCATATTGATCAATCATACAGTTATGGTTACTGACTTCTCTTCACCTCCCTTCACTTGTATTTTGAATGTAAATCGTTTGGCAAAAAATTTGACAAAACTAAGCTAAAGATGAATTTGACAGATAGCATTATTTGTTTTCTTCAAAATCTTTTCCATATATCACGATAACATCGTTTTTGTGAGTTTCTTTTTGGCCACAAACATAAAGTGATGGCCCTCGTTCTCACCCTGGTCTGAGCACTGCACCACTCTGGGTGAGCAATGGCAACCAGCTGGACAGTTGTCGTCATAATTGTCATCATTATCATCTTCTTCACTGTCATCGTCCTCATCGCTCGAATCAGCCATCATGATGTCATAGTTTCTCATGAAGTCCAAGGCATTGATTGACTGGTAGGGTTTGGCGTTGCCGAGGGCCAGCAGGCAAAGCAGGAGGAAGACCCTCATGTTTTAATACCAGGAAGAGCTGTGGGAGGAGACAGAGGTTTAGGTTATAGATCTAAAAGTAATAGACAGGACTAGACTGTGATGTCATCGTGGCACTGAGGAAATAACCCGTTCAAGCTGTGAAATGATTTTTCTTTGTTTTTTCACTGGAGAATGATGTCTTTGTGTGCATTCAGGAAAAAATGTACTTATTAAGCAGCACTACAACAGGACACGACCCGATTAGACTGGATTTAATTAGGACGCAGCTCGACTTGAGTCTCGGGTTGGTCTCAGTTGATAGGAGCCAAGGGAAGCCTTCTTTATTGTGCACAAACTCACAGCGCCATTTAAATGTAGCTTCACATGAACATCAGCTTCTGTATGTTTGAGAGAAGAGGCGCTGAACCACATGAAGCTGAACCCTAATCACCCTTTTCCCTCAACGTTTGCTTTAAATAGTGTAAAGTCCTTCCAAAGTTCTTAATAACTAGTAACAAGTTTCAAATGAGTGATTTACTTTCACCCTTTAAACTCAGCTAGTTAAGCATTGTGATGATAATGTGTCACTTGGTTTCAAGACTCACCTCCTTCTAGTACACAGCAGCTCATTTCAATGTTTATAAAGATTAGATCTCAGCTGTTTCACTCTTGTTACATACAACTAAAACACCTCAACCCCTCTGTACGCTTAAACTCATTTTAAGTCCTTCATCATTCCCTCTCTTCATTCTCCTTCAGCTGCTCCTTTGTTTAACAGCCAGCAATCAGTGTTGGCAACTAGTAAACTACAGGTTATTAGTAGTTAAACTATATTTTGCAGAAGCTTGCTGGTAGTTCAACTAGATTCATATTTGCACAGTGATTCAGGTGGTTTCGGTCATTTTCTGAGTAGTTAACTACTGAAACTACAAATCATATTTGGCCACACACAGAAACGCCCCGTCGCCTTTATCTTTCAAACCAAACTATATTTCAAGTAGAGGTAGGTTTGCTGTTCAACTTCATCCAGTTTGAAGTACTTGGTAGCTTGTAAAACTATTCTCAAAGTAGCTTCCCCAATTCTGCCAGAAACACTGTTCATCAATCAATAAAGCTTAGTAATCCCACCGTAATGTCTTCAGACACTGCATCCTCTAACAAGTAGTCAATACTTTAATGTTGTAGCTAGTTGAGGTGGAGCTGATTTCAACTACTTCATATACTTTTGGGTAGTTAAATCTGTAATAATGCATTATATGTTATTATCTGACCGCATGTTTTGTATGTCAAATCGCAATGTAGGATCTATACCTGCAAAATACATGTGGTGAAGTAAAAATAACCCTTGTTGAATATGTGCCACGAAGACTTAAGACACAATGACGACTAAAGGAGGTCCAACCTGGTACTAGCGAGGTGTACCTAATAAAGTGGCCAGTGAGTGTATATCTAAGTAGTTAGAGTACTTTAGCAGACTTGCTATCAACATTCTAGAGTGTATAAAACTGGAGTAACGGTACTAATGTCCCCTCAGATCCACCAGTTGCGTGTCTGTTTCACAGCCCTCATATTAATGTGATCCAGGAAGTTATTGTTAAAACAGTGCGCGGTGAAAGGAGACGCTGAGCTCCTCCACTGATCGCTTTCAATAAGTGCTGCTGGTTTTTCTATCAGCATTTCCACGAAGCTCTGAAAAAGCTTCCCTGGAAATGAGTTCTTGCAGCCAACATAAATGTTTCTCAGCTGTCACCTATTCGGCATCTGCGGTGATTCACAGGATGATTTACACGTCTTCCTCTATTCCACATTCACACAGCCAGCAGAGAGAGGCCGAGGTCGCCTGGTTGGCTGCGTGCTTCAAGTAATCTTCAAACCTTCAGTCGTCCCACAAATATGTGGTGGTGGTCGAGCAGCCTGCTGCAGCAGCAAATAGTGTTCAGCAGCAGAGACCCTTCCTCTGCAGCCAGACTCCTTTGGTCCTCATCTGCACATTCAGCACAAACGAGGCTTTTTTCTTAATGTGTGTTTTGCAAATGAACTTGGTGGGTTTTGCATTTGAACAACTTGGCAGTGAGTTGGAGATATTTCACTTGTTTAATGTTTTTTCCTGTCGCTTACTCAAACAAGCCTTGAGAACCGATCCAATAAATCTGAATCCACTCCGGTCAGACTGGTGAAGGTGCTTTTAATTACAGTCTGCATTATAATCAGTTCTCTGGAGGTTTTATATTTCATAAAACAGCCTTTGTCCCCTCTGATCCCTGCAGTCTCACATATATGTCCCTACCACTTGTGGCTGCAGCTGTGGATTACTTTTTTATTATTTGGGTAAAATTTAAATCTATAAAATGTCAGATAACAGTCAAAAATGTCCATCCTAGTTAAATAGAGCTGAAGTCGTGTCTTGTTTATGTTCTCTGGAACCAGAGAACATTTGGCAAGTCAAAAGATTCTGCTTTTAAAATACAATTTTTTATAATTGACAATTACTGCTAACTAATTTCATTGTTTCTGCACTTTCATACAAGTGGAATATCTTTGTGCTTTGTACTGACTTGTAGGTCATTAAGACACATTTCCTTTATGTGTTTGTTGCATTTACAATTTGTAATAAACTGTTCTCCATAATCTCCAAAATTACTTTAGCATTTCTGTCAAATGAGAGCTTCCTCAATTTAAACCCCAGAAAGGAAACACATGAAAGACCCGAGCATTCAATATTAAACTCAACCATTAAACATCATGTAGTTCACTTAAAAGATGATCCACAGACTTCCACATTCCTGTAAATTGATCTTGTGTTCTGAAGCTTGCATGCAAATCAAACTCACTCAGAAATAAGTACATTTGAAATATTCTCTCTTAAAATACATATATTTTTCCTACAATACAGACCAAGATCAGCTGGTAAAATGTTCATTTTCAGACATTTGCCGCCGCTGACATACAGGAGAAGTCCTGTAAACTGACAACTAAGAGATGCTGCATCGTCTGAAAATATCATGCCAGATTGAATAGTTAAATACTTGAAAAGATGAGTTTAGTTTTTTTGTTAATAAATAATGGGTGTGTCCTACCTCAGCCGTCAGGTGTGTTTGTGTCCTGGTTTAAACCCCCACAGTGAGCAGAGCAGCAGCAGCAGGGTCCAGCTGGAGGGCTGAGAGTTGAATCCTCAGTCAATACATTCCCAGTGAATGGAGAACAGCATCACCCTCTCTCACCAGAAATAAAAAAAAAACTGCCCCCAGAACACCCCCACCGACGGAAAACCAGCGCTGTTCGGGTGAGAGGTTCAGTTTCAGTTGAGAGCTGTTGACTGTGTCAGTGATCAGACTGTCTGTACGTCTCGGGGACTACATTTAAAAAGGCTTTGTTGGGACTTCGTCATGTGCTTTTCATCAGGAGCTCTGAAGTGATGCCAGGATCGTTAGCTTCAGACTCCTGACTGTATAGAAAAGTACAGGTAGGTCTGTCACCTCCCCTGCCTTCACGGCCGGCTGCCATATTAAATATTTCACATCAACATGAACGGTTCCTACACTCTGGCCTGTTGGCTCTGGGTTAAACGAGGAGAGTGGGTCTGTACAGATGTTTGGGTTTTCTCAGTGACGTGAGGATGGAGGTGAGCCGGCCCTGCAGGAGATTTTTAGGATGAATGCCGTCTGAACTTCTTCATCTGGCTGCTTCATAGTAACTGACTTCCCTAAACAAAGAGCCGAGGCTGCCATGTTGACCTATTTTGATTAGGGTGGCACATTTAATCGAAATTTCACTCTTCGTCTTTGGTGTCGTTATTTTCAAAGTTTCTCTTTTTCAGCAGTGACAGTTCTACCTTCGTAGACTAGTTGCTAAAGATAATATCCCCATACAGTGTGGATCTTTCTATAATACTCTACTGAAGTCTGAATAAAGCTGACTTTACTTTAAACAATGGATGAAGCCAACGAAGGCTTATTCTGTAGATTCATTCCTCGAAAATTAGTAAAACCAAACTAGGAGCAACTAGCATTTCACAGGCAATTAAAAAAGTCCAGAATGCTGAATGACTTGTCAGCAGTGTGGTCTCCTGACTTAAGGTGGTACAAGTTACCATCAGAATAGATTTCCTCCTTATTCGAAAGCAGAGAAAAGAGAAACGGAGCAGATGCCTTGCAACATCCAACCAACATTATGTGCTTAGTGTTCTGCATGATGTGCAGTTTGACGAGGCACAACAATCATTACATTTGAAGTAGAAATGAGAAATACCTCCAAAGACTGGAAAAGCTTACAGGAGCTGCTCGTCAGGGGTTCACGTGTTACACTATTCCTCTTTCCATTCAGTGCTGGTATTTTCTGCTGAGCTCAGCTGGAACGGCGCTATGAGACACAACTTATGGCTGAGTCAGACGGTCCAAATATTCCCCGGTTTGGCAGTCGGACAAACCGAAATGGGAGCCGGTCTGTGTTCTGGTTTCAACGCATCTTCTCTGTGAGGAAACCATATTTTCCAATCCATCAGAGATCTGGTTAAATGATCATCTCATCAAAAAGAAGCCTGTCGAGCTCTCCCATGTTCATTTTTTGAAGGTGATTCATGAATTCAAAAATGTCTGAAAGTAACTTTATCATTTGTTTTTCCGACCAGCAGTTTGAAACTCTCCCATTGAATTACACATCACAAGCAACAAGGCTCCCGCTCTTCTTCACTGGTTAACCTCCTATAGGTTTGTTTTTAGTTTGTTGTCTTGTTTCTAGGGGTCGTTTTGTGATGTGATCTTTATTTTATTTATATATAATATCTATCGATCCATATATTTTATTGTCATCTTATGCCATATTTTGCATTCTCTGTTTTATGTGGTTCGTATCTATCTTTACGTTATTATTGACTACTGTTTGGACGTCTGGACACTGTTGAAAAATATTACAAAATTGAAAAAGCATGAACAATACATCATCAAGACGTCGGAACGTTTTTGATCTCGCCAGTAGTGAGTAAGCTGCCTGATCACCATGACAGAGTTTATTGTGTAGATGTTTTTTAATCGGACATCAATACAGCCAAGCCAATACAGTTTGAGCTTTAGGTCATCTACCTCACATTTCAAAAGTCC